TGATCATGATGATGATGATGATGACTATGACGACGATGCTGCTGACGATGATAATGATGATGACGATGATGATGATGGTGATGATGATGATGATCACAATGATGCTGATGATGATAATGGTTGATGATGATAATGGTTGATGATGAACATGATTATGATTATGATGGTGATGATGACGATGACGATGGTGATGATGTTTGTGGTGATGCTGGTGATGGTGATGGTGAACGCTTATGATGATGCTGCTGATGATGTCGATGACGCTGATAATGACGATGCTGATGATGCTGATGATGATGCTGATGCTGTGGTTGATGCTGCTGATGCTGCTGCTGTTGCTGCTGCTGATGATGCTGATTATGATGCTGATACTGATGCTGCTGTTGATGATGCTGATGCTGATGCTGATGCTGATGATGATGATGATGAGGAGGAGGAGGAGGAGGAGGAGGAAGAGCAGGAGGAGGAGGAGGAGGAGGAGGAGCAGGAGGAGCAGGAACGGAGGAGGAGGAGCAGGAGGAGGAGGAGAATGGAGGAGGAGGAGGAGGAGGAGGAGGAGGAGGAGGAAGCTGAGGAGGGATGGGGGACAGGGAAAAAGTGAGAATGAGGATGAGTGGGGGATATGAGAGGATGGGGGGGGGAAGGAGGACGCGGCGGGCTGGTAGCCGGCCAACGGATGGCCGCGCCAGAAAATGGAGGACGCCGACTACTGCTCCACCGCGCGAACGCTCCTGGGCCAGGACGCGGAGCCGGCTGCGGGTAGCTGCAGCAACCGCCGCAAGACGGGCCCGGCCCGAGGGCGGGGGAGCTCTGCGGGCAGGCGGCGCTCTCACGCCTACCGCTGCTCTTGTGGAGACGGCCCCAAGGCACGAAGCAAAGATGTCGAGGACGTGCGCGGGCGCATCTACCAAAAATGCTGCTCCCGCGCGGCCCGGCAGGTCGTTGTTCCCGTTTGGGACAGGCGGTATTGGCGCTGCTCCGCCCTGGTTTGCGCGGCCCGCGGCGCGGCCGACGCGTCCCCGCTGGGCCCCTGCGCCACCTTCGGGGCGACGCCCCAGGTGGAGCGGGATGGGGTTCTCCTGGGCTTGGAGGTGCCGAGATGGGATTGCCTCAGGCCGTGTGCGGACGTCGCAGCCCAGCACAGCATCCCTGGGGACGCGCGTGCCCTAGCGGCGGCAGCCGACGGCGACGGCGCCGCCAATGCCGACGCCGAAGCTGACGAGTGGCGCCGCTGCCTGGCGCGCTGCGCGCCTTGGCGGACGCCCCTGCTGGCGCTGGAGACAGGGAGGGGGGGCCGCGGCCAGGCCGCGTTCCGGCACCTTCGGTGGATGGCGAGAAACTGGGCGCGCGGCCTTGGCTTCGGCGACGGCCCCGCACCGGAGACAGCCGCCAGCGCGCTGGCGCAGCGGTGAGGGGCGGAACTGAGCGTGGCACTTCACCGTGCCGCCGCTCGGCAGCCCCGCTCCGCTCCTGTGCGCGATGCCACCCAGGCGGCAGCCGCGGCGCTGGCGGACGAGCTGGCGCGCTAGGCACACCGCCAGGGGCGGCCCAGGCGGCTGGGCTTCGCGGTGCTCTATTGGATCGTCTCGGAGCTCTTCACCTTCCTGGCGCGGTTCTTCGGCGTTCGTGGGTTGCGTCGGGCGCGCGCGCGGGCCCGCGTTCGGCGGCCGCAGGAGGAGGAGGACGGAAGGGGAGGATAATGAAAAATGTGAACCCAAGACGCATCGAAGACGTTGCAGTTCACCTTCCCGATCCCTCCTTCCAGGTTCTCCTCTTCGCAGTGTCAGCTCGCGACGAACGAATGATGCCCCCCCCGGAGCTGATCAATAGTACATCCGGGGGGCCACGAAACAAAGAAGAAAATTACTCGCGCCAGGAGGTCATCCCGGGCGCCGCCGAAGGGATCGTGCACTTCCGTGCGCGGCAGCTTCATAACGACTGCACGTCGCATAGCAGTTCGTTATAGGGATCGTATTCATCCGAGGCGCAGGCTTCCCCCTTTCGGGCTGACGACTGACGCGCCATAGTCGTCGCCGTCGTCGTCGTCGTCGTCGTCGTCGTGGTCCGTGGTTCCAGTCCTCGATTGCGGCGCGCCTACCCCCCCTCCGTGCATCCGCAGTGCGTCGTCGTCGCCGTCGTCGTCGCGTTGTCATCGTCGTCGCGCCTTTGTCTTCTACGATAGTAAGGTTCCTACGCAGCACGCGCTCCCCCCATGGGGCATGCACAAGAGTGCGCCGTCGTCGTCGCCGTCGTCGCGTTGTCGTCGTCGTCGCCGTCTTCGTGGTCCTGGTCGTCGTCGTCGTCCTCGTCCTCGTCCTTGTCCTTGTCCTCGTCGTCGTCGTCGGCGTCGTCGTCGTCGTCGACGATCACAACGGGCCTACGCAGCCTCCCCCCCCGTGGAACATCCGTAGTGCGTCGTCGTCCGCCGTCGTCGTCGTCGTCGTCGTCGTCGTCGTCGTCATCGTCGTTGTAGGATCTTGTAGCGAACGGGGCGGGCGGAGAAGGACAAGGAGGAACTCTTTCGGCCTGCGTTTGTCGCTTCTCCCCCCTTGTCCTTTTGTTGTTTGTAGCCATGTCGGCGGGCGCCGCCCGCCAGTTGATGCGCCTCTTTCCCCCGTTTGTTGTTTCCCTGCTTGTGGCCATCCGGACCCAGCCGTCTCGCTATAGCGGAGGCGCTGCTGTCCCCCCTCCGCTGAAGCGGCGCCGCTTGCTTCGCGCCTGCTGCCTTCCCTTTGTCGGCCGGGTGTCTACGTTAATCACTGGCGCCGCCGCCGCGTGTCTCCATTTTGAAGCATTTTTGCGGGCGCCCCCCCCTCCCCCCCGGTTCGCCCGAGCAGTGGGGCCATTTTGTCAATCGCGCGGCCCGTTTGTTTTTGTGCAAGGGCTCCCATGAGGGCGCGAAGTTATTCGCGCTTCGCGCTTCGCGGTCCTCGTTCCTTCTCCCCCTCCTCCTCGTCCTCCTATTCTCCCTTTGGGAGGGCGGCGCGAGGGCGCGAAGTTATTCGCGCTTCGCGCTTCGCGCAGCGCGAAGCGCGAAGTTGGGAGCCCTTGTTGTGAGTCGCAAGCTGACATTCGATCCCTTGCAATGTTTCGTCGTTGCGGGGAGCGCCCCGTTGGAAAGCAACCGCCGGGGATCCACGAGCGTACCAAAACACATCACTTGGGACTCCAACGCCGCGAGTCAATGTGGCTGTCGCATGTGTTGATAATCCCCAATCGCGCCAGAACGCCGCACTTGGGACTACAGCCGTGCGAATTATGGAAGCTGTTGCGAACGTTCCCTCCATCTTGGAAACGGTTGAACAGTCCAAGTTCCACGACCGTCGATGGTGAGGAAGTTTCAGTCGTCACGCCCGGTTCGCCCTACCGACACGCTTCGGGGTGTGAGAATGAACGGAGGAGGAAGAGGAAGAGGAGGAGAAGGAAGAGGAGGAAGAAGAGGAGGAGGACGAGGACGAGGACGCGGACGACGACGAGGTCGAGGAGGACGAGGACGACAGGAAAAAAGTGAGGAGGAGGGGAGGGAGAGTGGATCAAGGGAGGGTGATGATGAGGTGGACTATCGAGGAAGGGGTAGGTACGAGGGACAGGACGAGGGGACAGTCGGAACACGGGGGAGGGAGGAGGAGAGGGAAGAGGGGAATGCGGACAAAAATACCGCGAGGAGGGGGAAGGGGGAGGAGGAGTTTTGGAAAAAGACTCAACGCCGGAAAATTTACGCGCCTCCTTTCGGATGGTAGGGGTTGGGTTTTTGATCGCCAGGATAACGCGTTCCATGTGTAGGTTTCGTCGTGTTCCCGCGTTGGAAGTAGTGGGCGCTCTTCGGGCCAGGGGGATGGAAAAGAGGAGGAACAAGAGGAGGAGGAGGAGGAGGAGGACGAGGAGGAGGAGGGGGTGCAGAAAGCGGGGGCAAACGACCAGCAGAACGAATAGTACAAGTATTATTATTACTGGTAGTAGTAGTAGTAGTAGTAGTAGTAGTAGTAGTAGTAGTAGTAGTAGTAGTAGTAGTAGTAGTAGTAGTAGTAGTAGTAGTAGTAGTAGTAGTAGTAGTAGTAGTAGTAGTAGTAGTAGTAGTAGTAGTAGTAGTAGTAGTAGTAGTAGTAGTAGTAGTAGTAGTAGTAGTAGTAGTAGTAGTAGTAGTAGTAGTAGTAGTAGTAGTAGTAGTAGTCGTAGTCGTAGTCGTAGTCGTAGTCGTAGTAGTAGTAGTCGTAGTCGTAGTCGTAGTCGTAGTCGTAGTGTAGTCGTAGTCGTAGTCGTAGTCGTAGTCGTAGTCGTAGTCGTAGTCGTCGTCGTCGTAGTAGTAGTAGTAGTAGTAGTAGTAGTAGTAGTAGTAGTAGACCGCGAGCGCTTTTGATCTTTTTGTTTCTTGCTGTCTCTGGGTTGGCCCTTCTCTCTGCTCTGTTTAGGCGCATCCCGCCTGCGAGGGGAAATTGTGTGTGAGTGCCGCCAGAAGCCGACCAGGGTGTTCTGCGTTTTCGTTTCCGTTCGGCAGGAAGTCGGCGCGGAATTGCGTCGCGGTGGAAGTGCAGCTCTTGAAGTTGTTCAGATGCGCGTCGCGCAGGGCAGGGGGTCTCTTGCCGCGTCTGGTGACGCGCGCTCAATTGCTCGGCGCTGCGGCCATGGTGATACAGTGCCCGAGGTCGGCGGCGGCCGCCTCCATCGCTTCCGCGGCGACGGCGTCGGCGAGCCTCGACGCGACGTCGACGATCCCAATTGTGACAGTGATGGCGATCACTTCCGGGGAGACCGTGGCCATGACGATTGCCGCCATGATGATGGACGGTGGTCATGATCAAGATGATGATGATCAAGATGATGATAGCTCCACCATCCCCCCTTGGAATCCTAGCGAAGACGCGCGGTCGGGGCGGGGGGGGCTCGGGCGCCCCCTTGGAGCTTATTATGCATTATCCAGATCAGGATGCTGGAGAAACGCCCCAATCTAAGTCTTGCACGGGCTAAAAGGCGGTGGGGCCATGGGCAGGGGCTATGGGGCTATAGTGTTGTGGGGCTAGAGGGCTACAGGGCTATGGGATACGGCCATCGGGCTGCAGGGCTCTAAAACTATGAGGCTGCAGGGCTATGGGGCCATAGGGCTATGAGTCTGTAGGGCTATAGGGCTGTAGGACCACAGGGCCATAGGGATATAGGGCTACGGGGCCATAGGGCTATAGGCATGTAGAGAGCTATTGGGCCATGGGGGATAGGGCTATAGCGCTATAGAGCTATAGAGCCATAGGGCTATAAGGCTATAGGGCTCTAGGGCTATAGGGATATATGGCTAGATGGCTATAGGTTTGATGGGCTATTGGGCTACAGGGCTATGAGGCTATGGGGCTATAGGGCTATTCTGCGATTGGGCTATAGGGCTATAAGGCTATAGAGGTATGGGGCTCTAGGGCTATAGAGGTATAGGGCTCTATGGCGAAAGAGCTACAGGGCTATAGCGCTATAAGGCTATGGGGCGATAGTGCTATAGGGCTATTGGGCTATGGGACTATTGGGCTATGGTGATATAGGGCTATTGGGCGATATGGCTATAAGGCTATAGGGCTATTTGGCACCCCGGCTCCCAGGCACCCGGGCACTTGGGCACCCGGGCGGGCCGCGGTAATCGGTGGCAAAGCTCATCTAACCATCTGATACCGGAGAAACACCCCAATCAAAGTTTGTTTGGGGCTATTGGTCTATAGGGCGATGGGGCTATGGGGTTCTAGGGCTATGAAATCATATGGTTTTAGGGCTATAGGTCTGTAGGGCTATAGGGCCATAGGGCTATAGGGCTGTAAGGCTATAGGGCTATGGGGCTCGCTGTGGGGCTATAGGGCCATAGGGCTATGAGTCTATAAGGCTATGGGGCTACAGGGCTGCAAACCCATAGGGATGTAGGGCTATAGGGGTATAGAGATGTAGGGCTACAGGGCTCTAGTAGCCGTCGTAGTCGTATGCAGAGGAAGAAGAGGAGGAGGAGGTGGAGGAGGCTGGGAAAAAAGGGAGGAGGAGGAGGAGGAGGAGGAGGAGGAGGACGACGAGATGGACGAGGAGGAAATGGGGGAGGAGGAGGAGGAGGAGGAGGAGGAGGAGGAGGAGGAGGAGGAAGGGGAGGAGGAGGAGGAAGAGGAGGAGGAGGAGGAGGAGGAGGAGCAGGCGCACAGCGAGAAGGGAGGCGTGGGTGGGGACGAGGATGAGTAGGTAGGGGGAGGACGAGGAGGGTGATGCCGTAAGAACGGGGAGGAGGATTATTACGAGGAGGAAGAGGGTGAGGAGAAGGAGTAGGCGGAATATGAGCAGCAGGATAATGACGGGGAGGAGGAATATTCAGTGGACCATGGCGCGAAAGAGGGGTACAAGGGAAAAACAGGGTGAGGGCAGTAGTGTTGATGACGATGGCAATGGTGACGGTGACGGTGTGGTTCATGATGACGGTGATCGTGATATTGCTGCTGATTATGATGGTTGAGCTGATGATGATGATGATGATGATGATGTGGATGTGGATGTGGATGTGGATGTGGATGTGGATGTGGATGTGGATGAGGATGATGATGATGATGCTGATGATGATGATGATGGTGATGATGATGGTAGTGTGGTTGTGGTGGTGGTTGTTGTGGTGCTGAATATGATAACGATGATGATGCTGCTGCTGATGATGATGACGATGACGCTGACAATGACGATGATGGCGGGATGATAGTGATGGTGGTGATGGTGGTGGTGATGATAATGATGATGATGATGATGATGCTGATGATGATGATGATGGTGATGGTGATGGTGATGGTGATGGTGATGGTGATGGTGATGATGGTGATGGTGATGGTGATGATGATGATGCTGATGATGATGATGATGATGATGATGATGATGAATGATGATGATGATGATGGTGATGATGATGACGATGATGATGATGCTGATGATGATGATGATGATTATGATTATGATGATGATGATGATGATGATGATGATGATGATGATGATGATGATGATGATGATGATGATGATGATGATGTCTGATGATGTCTGATGATGTCTGATGATGTCTGATGATGTCTGATGATGTCTGATGATGTCTGATGATGTCTGATGATGGTGGTGGTGGTGGTGGCGATGGTGGTGATAATGGAGATTGCGGTGGTGGTGGTGGTGATGAGGAGGAAGAGGACGAATCTAGGCATAAGGGAGAGAAGGAAAATGAGCACGGGGGTGATGAGGAGAGGCAAAGCCGCCCCTTGGCCCCTTTCGACGAGCTTGCCGACGACCGTCGGACGACAGCGACCACGACCACGACGGCCACGACGACAGTGACCACGACGATGACGACGACGACGAGCACGACCACGACCACCACGATCACCACGACCACAACGACTACCTCGACCACGACGACCACGACGACCACGACGACCACGACGGCCACGACGACCACGACGGCCACGACGACCACGACGACCACGGCGACGACGACGACGACGACGACGGCGACGGCGACGACGACGACACGGACGACGGTCGACGACGGTGATGAAAACGACGGACGACGACGCCGACGATTCGACGATCGCCAACCGACCGATGGCGGCGACTCGACTGCGGTGGCGACGACGACGACGACGACGACGACGACGACGACGGCCCGCCGCCGACCTCTCGCGGGCCTCTCCGAGGCGCGGGCAATGCATTCTACCAGAGCTCGATGGTGGTGGGCAAGATCGCCGGGGCCGCGGTCGAAGAGGAGGCGCGGCCGCTACCCTCGCCGTCGGCCGCCTCTGTCGCCGGCTCCGTCTTAGGGGGAGGAGGGGGAAGGAGGAGGGGAAAGAGGAGGACGGAGGAGGACGGTGGAGGACGGAGGAGGGCGGAGGGAGGGAGGGAGGGAGGGAGGGAGGAGTGTGGAGGGTGGGGTGGGAGGAGTAGAAGGAGGAGGAGGAGGAGGAGGAGGAGGTCGGTCAGTCGGTCGCGGACCTCGAGTGGCTCAGTCATCTGAGCCCTGCCGGGAGGGTACAGGCATCCTGGTTAGCCTGCAGCCTATAGGAGGAGGAGGCGGAGGAGGAGGAGGAGGAGGAGGAGGAGGAGGTGGACCGAATTCCGCGCTGGGCACGGCATCCACCCGGAGCAGCAGTCTCGTGCCGAGGCTTCTTCGCGGAGTCCCGACCCGACCCGACCCCGGCAGGACCTACGTTACCTACAGCACGGCTCGCTGCCAGGCCTGGACGAGCTCGACGACGAGTTCGGCGCGGGCCTGGCGGCGCCGCTGCAGGAGTCGCCCCAGGGGCACTGGGCGCGGGAGGCAGCGGGAGGGGAAGGGAGAGGGGAGAGGGGAGGAGGAGGAGGAGGAGGAGGAGGAGGAGGAGGAGGAGGAGGAGAAGAAGGAGGACCAGTGGAAACCCACGAGTCAGCAACGATGTTTGAATTAACCCTCCCTCCACGCTCCCTCTTCATGGGCCCCCACAACGGTTCATTTCCATTGAGGGAATTGCCTCGTTGGAAGACAACAGTTTGAAGATTCTGATGCGTGCCAAAACATTGTTCTCGGGACTTCAACGCCACGTATCAACCTGACTGCTGCGTCTTGACGATCCAGAACCGTGCCAGAACGCCATTTGTGGGACTTCAACACAGCGAATCAACATAACTGTTGCGCCCGCAAAATCCTGAATCCTTCCAAAAACACTGATTCTGGTACGCTGATCATGGGAACCCGTGAAACTCTTTAATTTTCTGAAACGAGTGTGCGCGGGTCTGAGGCGAGAGCCACATGTTGAAAAGGAACCGCCCTCAATCCGTGAAGCTCTTGCAAACATTTAAAACGAATGTGCGCGGCGCTAAGGCGAGAGCCACATATTGAAGACGACCCGCCCTCAATCCGTGAAGCTCTTGCAAACTCTAAAGCGGCGCTAAGGCGAGAGCCACATTCTGAATACCACCCGCCCTCAATCAGTGAAATTCTTGCACATGTTGAACACGAATGTGCGCGGCGCTGAGGCGAGAACCACATGTTGAAAACCACCCGCCCTCAATCCGTCGAACTCTTGCAAATGTTTAAAACGAGTGTGCGCGGCGCTGAAGCGAGAGCCACATACTGAAAACCACCCGCCCTCCATCTGTGAAACTGTTGTCAAATCGTACATGGTGGGGAAGTCTCAGGCGAAACGCCCGACCCGCCCTAAAAACTGGCCTCGGGGTGCGACAGGGAGGAGTTATCTATAAGGAGAAGAAATGATGGATGAGCAGGAGCAGGAGCAGGAGTAGGAGGAGGAGGAGGAGGAAGAAGGAGGGAGGAGGAGGAGGAGGAAGTTGGAGGAGGAGGAGGAGGAGGGCGGAGGAGGAGGAGGAGGAGGAGGAGGAGGAGGAGGAGGAGGATGGGAGGGAGGGAGGGAGGAGGAGGAGGGAGGGAGGGAGGGAGGAGGAGGAGGAGGAGGAGGAGGACGACGAGGGGAGGGAGGGAGGAGAGGGAGGGAGGAGGGAGGGAGGGAGGAGGGAGGGAGGAGGAGGAGGAGGAGGAGGAGGAGGAGGAGGAGGAGGAGGAGGAGGAGGAGCGAGGAGGAGGAGCAATGCCCCCTCGATCTCTGTACGCCCGCCCTCGGCGCTCAGGCGGAGGAGCGCCCGTACAGGAGCTCGCTGCCTGGCCTCGACGAGCTGGACGACGAGTTCGGTTTCGGGGCCGAGGCGCCCCCGCCAGCGGCCGCCCCTCCCTCTCGGGCTGAACGGAAGGGGGGGATTGGGGAAGGGGGGGGTACGAAATCTGCTGCCTGCAGCTGGTTTCGGCCCCGCCGCCAGGCCCATTCCTCGATACAATGGGCGCCTCCCGGTGCCGGGAGGCTCCGCGAAAATCAGCTACGTGAGCTGATTCTCACCGCCCCCTTTGCTATCCCCCCCCTTTCGCCCGGCCCGACCCCGCCAGCGGCCACTTAATCCGAGGCCCTTTCTTGCGTAACAGCCCCGCAATGGGGTTTTATCCTCCTTGATCTTTCCGACGAAGACCTCCCATCAGTTGCTTCCTAACCTCGGGGGCGTCCGTGGGGGGGGGGGATGGCCAGGCGGGTGCGGATACGGTCGGTCTTGGGTGTAAGATCGGGGTCGGTTCGGGGAGGGTGCCCTTAGTCTTCTTCGCGTTCGTTGGGTATTCTGGGTACCCTGCAGGATGTTTTTCTGTTCTGGCGGAGGGCCTCATCTTCTTGAAGGATGTGATTCCGTCCTAGGTCTGGCCGTGTCATGGCCAGGGCCATGAGATCTCCCTAGATCTCATGGCCCCCCGCTGCCTCTTCTTTCGACACGCCCCCTGCCCCCCTTCCCTTCGTCCGCGCACGTGCGGTTGAGGGACAAAATTAAGCAACACTCCCCCCTCCCCCTGCAATTCAAAGGTGGCACGTTTACGCATCACTGGTCCGACACTCAAACTCGGAAGGTCCGACAATCATGTTGTGCACGAGTGTTGTTTACCTGTTTCCGACACCTGTGCCTCGGGCCATGATTTGCGAACCCTCCTCATGGTCGCCCCCCAGCTTGGACGCCCCCGACCCGCGTGGGCTGTGCCCGCCTTCGCCAGGGTAGGCCTGGCGAGAGTGTGGGGTTCGAGGTTGTCGAACGTGTTCGGTTCTCGGCGGTTTCCCGGCCTCGGGGTGCTCTCCAGCGGCTGCGCCTCGCCGAGGGCGTTCGAGCGTGCCCGTCGGTTCTCGGCGGTCTTCCGGCCTCGGGGTGCTCTTCTGCGGCTGCGCCTCGCCGAGAGCGCTCGAGCGTGTCCGTCGGTTCTCGGCGGTCTTCCGGCCTCGGGGTGCTCTTCTGCGGCTGCGCCTCGCCGAGGGCGTTCGAGCGTGTCCGTCGGTTCTCGGCGGTTTCCCGGCCGCGGGGTGCTCTCCTGCGGCTGCGCCTCGCCGAGGGCGTTCGAGCGTGTCCGTCGGTTCTCGGCGGTCTCCCGGCCTCGGGGTGCTCTTCTGCGGCTGCGCCCCGCCGAGAGCGCTCCGGCGGTGCCCGACTCGTGCGGAGCGGCCGCGGGGGGAGCCGAGCGCTCACCCCGAAGCCAGCGGCGGGGTCGTCAGAGTGGCGATATGGGCCCAGTCTTTGGCCTGCAGGGCGAGAGCGAACCTCTTCCGCTGAAAGCTAGGCGGGCTACGCACAGCTCCCTCGAGGGCGCGAAGTCATTCGCGCTTCGCGCTTCGCGGTCCTCGTTCCTTCTCCCCCTCCTCCTCGTCCTCCTTTTCTCCCTTTGGGGGGGCGGCGCGAGGGCGCGAAGTTATTCGCGCTTCGCGCTTCGCGGAGCGCGAAGCGCGAAGTTGGGAGCCCTAGGTTTTTGGCCTGCAGGGCGAGAGCGAACCTCTTCCGCTGAAAGCCAGGCGGGCTACGCACAGCTTGCCTTCGGGAGACGGGGCACAGGAAGGCAGGGCCTCAGGCGGCCGGAGCGGGCGGGACCCAAGGGGCGATGGGCACAGGCGGGGCTGCATCGGCCTGCGACCCTCGATCGCCCACTGATCGCCAGTAGGGGCCCGCACTCTCGGCAATCGGGGGCCCGGCGCCGGCCGATCGGCGACGTATCTCGTATACACCGGTCCTGGCCCAGGATCACCCTGGGCCCAGGATCGGTGTCTATGCCTTCTTGCGCAAGGCAGGAGGGCGTCTACACCGATCCTGGGCCCAGGGTGATCCTGGCCAGGATCGGTGTTGGTGCACAGTTGGTGCCCTCCTAGTATCGCCAATTCCAGGGTCGATGTCTGCCCCCTGCCCCGGAGCCAGCCCCCGCTCGGCAGAGCAGCAGAGCTCGGGGACTGAGGGTCGAGCTCTTCGGTCGAGCTCTCATGTCTGAGAATCGGGGGTGGACAGGGCCCCCAACAGTGACACGTGGATCGGTGAATTGTCCGTTTTCGGTTCTCGAGGTGGCGGTGTGGCCGTTATTTTCCAGGCTTGCGCCCGCCAGGTTTGGGCCTCAGGTCGTTTTCACTAAACCACGTTTTACTAAAACGGGGTCTGTCCATCCCCGAGAGAAGCTATATCATGTCTGAGGAGCGGTTACCAGCCCCCCCCCTCACCGGTGCCCTTCTTTTCTGAATCGGAGTGCGCCTCACGGCGTTCACACATTCTCTTGTCGGGGGAAGCGCGGAGGCTCAAGTTTGGCCCAGGCCCCCCCCCCCCCGCCACAACAATGGCTCCGTACGATTCCCGCCTGAGACTTCCCAAGTTGGGAAGTCTCAGGCGGGTTGGCAACCCGCCGCGGGCACACTGTGCTCGCAGTCTCCGTGGCTGTCAGGAAAGACAGGCAACTCGTTGCGCTAGGAGGAGGAGGAGGAGGAGGAGGAGGAGGAGGAGGACGAGGAGCATTTTGCTCGCGGCCTCCGTGGCGGTCAGGGAAGCGAGGTAACTCGTTAATGCGAAGGCCTTACGGCTGGCGCCGCCTACCTTGAAGGGGGACGGCGGGGGCGGCGGCGGCGGCTACGACGATGACGCTGACGTGAGTCAGAGTCCCCAAGGAGGCTTCTTGGGGTGTCTTCAGGGAGCGATGCTTCTTGATGTCTCTTCAAGGCGCGCTCTCGGGGGACTCTGAGGGGCAGTTTGGGGGTCTCCTGCGAGCCACTTGGACGCCTCTCGGGAGCCTCTTGGTGGCCTTTGGGGGGCTTCCTGGGAGCTTCTAGGGGACCTCTTGGAGCCTCTTGGGGGCCTCTTGGAGGCCTCTTGGAGCCTCCTGAGAGCCTCTCGGGACCGAGGGCTCGAAAGATCCGTTCGAGTTCCCCGTCTAGGTACCCTCTTGAAGTTGAAGCCGTCTTGGGACCCTCTGGGTCCGTCTTGGAGGCCTCTTGGGCCCACCCTCTCCATCTTAGGACCCGCTTGGCCCGTCTTGGAGGCCTCCTGGGCCGTCTTGGGCCGATCTTGGCTCCTCTTGGGCCGTCTTGGAGCTTCGGGAAGCCGAAAAGGCGAGAACACCCCATATCAAAAACCGAAGGAAAATCAATCAACCTTGCCTCCTGGGGCCCTCTTGGGAGTATTTCTTGAGGCCTCTTGGGGCGTTGAGGAGGCGTTTTGGGCCGTCTGGAGGCTATCTCGGGCGTCTTGGATCGATTGTTGGCGATTCGGGGCCCTCTTGAACCGTCTTGGGAGCCTCTTGGGGCACTCTTGGCCCATCTTGGGACCTGTTTGGGATCTGCGGCCCTGGGGATGGTATTCTGACCCGGGACCCCCCTGAACACCTCCCCTGGGACCCCCGCCCCATGGCGGGGAAGGGGTCAAAAAGAAGGGGTATCCCTTCGACTCAGCTACGACGCTGCTCAATTTCGCTGAGGCTGGCGTGCTCGAGGAGGAGGGCCCAGGGAAGGGGGGGAGGAGCGGCGACGGCGACGATGTGTCGCACACGCCGACAGGGGCGGCGGTCCTTGACGTTGGCTCTTGCAGGGGATGCATCGTCAAACTCGTGTCTCCCAGCTTTGTCCCCGCACCTGTCACGCTACAGTCGAATTCGATTAGTACAGTGGAGGCCCATGCCAAGAAACGCCCTGCTTGCCTCCAGGGTGCCCTGTGTTTCTTGGGTCTCGATGGTTTTGCTATGGAAAGCGTGACATTCCCACGCCGGAGATCAATGAACGTCCTGGGATCTCAGGGCCGGGTTTCTTGTGGAATGTTTCTTGTGGTCGAGCCCTTACTGTACAGTCGAATTCGGTCAGTAGTCGACGCTTCCGGATCAAGGGTGCCCTCGTGTCCTGTGTGTTCGCGCCCCACGTCCTCTGCAGTCCTGGGGCCAAGCGTGTCCTCTCGCGTGCCCTCTGCAATGAAGCCCGACTGCATGCCGTGCAGGCTCTGCGCAGTTCCGTGCGTACACGCCGGTCGTTGGAAGTAGGTATTTCTGGATTCCCAGGTCCTTCCCAGTTTGAAACATGTCCCTATCCCTATGTTTGACATCACCTCAGCTCGATGCCGATCTTAAGGATTCCCTCAGTTTCTGAGGGCCTATCCCTAAGATTGTCCTCGCTTTTTGCTCGCCCATCTTAGGGATAGGGATGTGTTCGAGGCTGGTTAGGTCCCCAATCCACTTGAGCCGCCTTCCTGCCTCAAGAGTCGAGCGGTTGTCCCTCTTCCCTCCTCCGCAGGCGGCGTGCGGAAGCCCAGTCTATTTCCAACGCCTTCCTGCTTCGTGTCTCCACCTCCTTTCTTCCGACCGAAGGATGCCCAGGAGCCCTCCGACCCCTGACCAGCGAAAAAACCACGCCGAATCGGTCGCTCTCGTTCTCGTTCCCGTCGAACCGCTCTCTCTCTCTCTCTCGACTCACGTCGAACCGATCTTCTCGCTCTCGTTCTCGCTCCCTCTCTCTCTCTCTCCCTCTCTCTCGACTGCGTCGAATCCCTCGCCCTCGTCCTCGCTCCCGCAGGGTCGCGCCGCGACCCCGCGGGCGCGCGCGCGGCCGCAGGTGCCGCCCGCGGACCCGGCCGCGAGCCCCCCGTTCTCGGGCTACGGCGCCGGCGACCCGTCCGCGCAGTGGGCGGTGCCGCCGCAGCGCGGAGCTCGGGCGGCCGGCCGGCACCGGCCCCGATGGTTGCCCCTCAGTTGCCGCCGCCTCCTTCGCCCCCTCCGCCTCTCGAGTCGGGCGAAAGGGAGGGTTTGGGAAAGGGGGGGGTACGAAATTTGCTGCATGCAGCTGGTTTCGGCCTCACCGAGGGGCCCATTCCTCGATACATGGGCGCCTCCGGCGCCGGGAGGCGCCGGGAGAATCAGCTACGTGAGCTGATTCTCAACCCCCCCCTTTGCTATCCCCCCCTTTCGCCCGACCCGATCCGAGTCCTCCGCCCTGGCGTGAACGCGTCTATAGACAACGCGGCCGCTGCCCTCGTCGCAGCACAAGGTCGGAGACAGGGCAGATCCGTCCACGGTGCTTGCCTGTTCTGGGGCAGGTCCCACGTGGTGCTCCAGCTTCAGCCCTCCTCCTACCTGGACGCCTGGGCGCCTCCTGGCGCGTTTCGGCCTGGACCAGGGCTCCGTCGAGTTCTGGGTCCAGCAGGCCCGTGCCCTCCCTTCATGCGGGGGGGAGGCGGGGCCCGTCGAGGAGGGGGCACCTCGCCGGAGGTGCGAGAGGACTCCCAGGTTCCCTTTTCTATCTTTGCGGTAGGTGGCCTGGACACCTTCCGGCTCCAGCTTGTCTTATGTCATCTCATCCCCTTCTGCGGCCTCCTCCCTGTCTCTCTCGCAGCGCCCCACGCCGATCCCTTCCCGGAGCCGAGCCGCGCCGCACGCGCGCCCCCCAGGCACCCTCGGGCGCCGCCGAGGTGTGCAGCGTCCCTTGGCATCGCTCGGACGTGTGCCTTATCTCTTCGGCGAGGAGCATCTGTCGAAGAAGCAGAGAACGCCAAAAGTTTATGTATACGATGCTTTTCTCTGTCCTTATCTGGGAACATCTCGCGAACAAAAAACGAACGAAGCCGGCAAATGCACGCGGAAGGGACGTCCGAGCGATGGCGAGGTCCGTGCTTCGAGGAGCAGAGAGGAGAAAAGAAGAGGCCACCTTACCATCCTGCACGCCCGAGGCCACTCGGATCGTAGAGGAAGGGGGGAAAGGTACGGGTTGAGCGGCGGGGCTACTCGAGGGATGTCGCTGCGGTTACGGATGACGTATCACCTTGCCCGTAGCGATGTACATGGCGTACCTCGTCGGTGGACTTGTAGACAAGGTAGCGTAGTAGCCTCCGGGTTGAAAAAACAAATATTTGTGCCCAGAGTGGTCTTTGCTGTAGATCAGGGCCCGTCGTCTCCACAGGCACGTTTCGTAGTCACGTTAGGATCGTGAGGTAGACACTGTGCTGGTATCCGTCGTGGTTCAGCTGGATGCCCTTGTAGCTCAGCCGGTGGTCCACGGGGCTCTGCTGGTGGCCCTCGTAGCTTAGCTGGTGGCCTTCGTAGCTCCGCAGGTGTGGCCCCCGCAGCCCACGTAGCGCAAGTGGTTGCCCTGGTAGCTCAGCTGGGAGCCCTAGTAGCACAGGTCGTTGCCCTCGTCGTTCAGCTGGTGACCCTGGTATCTCAGCTGGTGGTCCTCGTAGACCTGTTTGTGGCTCTCGTAACTCGGCTTGTGGTTCGCGCAGCCCGTGGCCCTTGTAGAGGAGCTTGTGGCGCTCGTAGCTGAGCTGGTGGCTCTCATAATCCAATTCGTGGCTCTGGTAGCTCTGCTTGTGGCCCGCGTGGCCCCTCTGGCGGTTCTCGAGCTGACGCGGTGGCCCTCGGCGCGCAGCTTGCTGCTCTGGAAGTTTTGGCTGCGGCCTTCGCATGTCACCAGATGGTCCTCGCAGACCAGCAGGTGGCGGTGCCCCTCGTAACTCGGGCCGCGGCCGTCGTAGCTCAGCTCGTGGCCTTCTGGGATCAGCTTGTTGCCCCTGTCGCTCAGCAGGTGGGCGTCGTAGCTCTGTTGGCGGCGTGCCTAGTTCGGCGGGTGCCCCTGGTAGCTCAGCTGATGGCTCTCGTAGCCGTCCGAGTAGCGAACAACGACAGAAAAGCAACTATACCAGTGCCTGGAAGAGTCGTCGGGTACCTCGCTTCTGTCACCCAGGCTGCACTCGCAGATCGTAGAGTTCAGTACCTGGGCCGTGGGGGCCGGCACGTGGAACGTGATGTTCCGTACGTAGATCGTGCCGTGCATCACGGGGATCATGTGGTTCCGCACGTAGTCGAGTTTTCTCCTCATCGTTTTTCTCCACCTCCCCCTCGTCCTCCTCTTCCTCCTCATTCTTCTCCGAGCCCTCCTGGTTGTCGTACACGTCATTGTCGTCCCCTGTGTGCGCCGAAGGTGCCCTGCTGGCCAGGGGTGTGCATCGCCGGTTGCCGAGCGTGTAGCAGTGGCCCAGGATATCCCAGGATTTTGGCCACGATCTCCGTTTTCAACCTCTTCGCAGTGCGCCTCTTCTCCTCGTCGTTCTCTGCCTCGAAAGTCTCCTCGATGTTCCGAAGGGCTTCTGGCAAGCTGCCCTTCTAGTATCGGGCCTCGGCTCAACAGTGAAGAATCTTAGCGTTTGGGCTTCTGAAGCGGATGGTTCAGGTTCATTCGGACTCTGCGTCGGTCCGCTCCTGTAGCATAAAATGAGCGAATGCCTGGCGCATGTACAAGTCAGCCTGCATCGCCGTTGTGTTGAAAGCCCGACTGTTTGATGCGAGTCGTATGTCCATGGAGTACCAATTCGGCAGCCTCGTGGAGGGACTCTTGTTTTTCGAGGGCGTCTCCCTGCCTGTTGGCCTCCTTCACGGCCTCCCTGGTTACGTCTACCTTCCTTCCCTCCTCTGCTTGCGTAGCCTCCTCCTCCTCCTTCTCCTCCTCCTCCTCCTCCTCCTCCTCTTCGCCCACCTCGGAGCGCGGCGTCCGCCAGCTGGTGCTGTATCCTCTTCCTCTTCCTCCTCGTGTACCCGACTCTGCTCCGCCTTCCAGGCCTCCTCCGTCTTCCTCGCCTCCTCCACCTTGTCGAGGAGAGCGTGGGGTGCTGCGTAATTTGTGGCGTTCTGCACGGGGAGGGTGTCGTCGGCATGCGTACCGCGAGGTACATA